TTACCTTTACCAGTTCGCCCCCACCCTTCATAGTTCGTCTTTACCTTTACCAGTTCGCCCCCACCCTTCATAGTTCGTCTTTACCTTTACCAGTTCGCCCCCACCCTTCATAGTTCGTCTTTACCTTTACCAGTTCGCCCCCACCCTTCATAGTTCGTCTTTACCTTTATCAGTTCGCTCCCACCCTTCATAGTTCGTCCTTACCTTTACCAGTTCGTTCCCACGATCTCTCAACTTGTTTCCTCGCTGCAGATATATTTATTTTCTGTCGAAATAATACTATAATTCGACCAACGTACCTCTACTCGTGATCGGCATTAAGGTCCTATTTGTTTACCTGTCGCAGTGACTGATAGTGTTCCATTTTTAAGATCCAATACAGGTTTTATCAGACACAACTTCGCTTCTCTCTTCTGTGTCAGACAAATCTTGGAGTCAGTGACAATCATCCATTGACGATCAAAAACAAATCCTCTGTTACCAACTTCCCACTCGTATACCTGACACAAGAACAACAAACTTTATTTAGCTTTCCGTTACTTAAATTATCTCTTAGAAGAAAGCAGGAAGATAAGACCTTCTAAAAAGAGCCCCATACGTGTTATTTGGTATAAATTTTAGAGCAATTATTTATTTCCCATTTCTACAATTAGTCAGGATGCAAATGATGCTACTTCCAACTTTTGCATGTTTTTTTTTTAAGGTGTAATTACCAACAGTTAAAAACAGATCTGTGTTTGTTTCCTGAGGTTTTGTGTGAAATCCCTTGAGAAGGAATTCAAGCGATTTGAGCAAATCCAATGGATTTCCCTTGAACTTACAGAACAGTGGATAAGACTCTGTCATTTAACTCTTGTTTAGGTAGGTTATTTAAAGTTAGCTGATATTTTTTCAGCTACCAACACTATTACCTCAAATGCAGCACAAGACTTGACAGGGTAAAGGCAGATCTTTTCCAACTTCAGATGCTTATTTGGATTAGCAACACATTCTTGAGGTGCATGTGCATGCATGTCACAATGATTAGGCATCATAGTTCTGACATACATATCAATTATAGGATTTCTTGGACTTGCAGTTGACTCCACACTTGAATTCCACTCCATAATGTTTTTAAACTTTGCATTTAAAGCAAAGTCTTCAGACTGCTTGTCCAAAATGGAACTGGAATGTAACTCAGCACTTTCAGATCTCTCTGCATCTAAAGACCTGTTTGAATTGCTTTCCAGGAAGCATTCCCTTATGAATGTTAAAAACGATTTTGCATCTGAAAAGTTAGACATGTAACCAAATGAGATTCTCACAGAGCCAGTAGGTTTGCCACCAATGAGATCCACATCATCCCCACACACATGACCTTCAGACATATTTTTCTTCACTTGCTCACTGGAAAGGCTCAGATACTTCTGACATGCCCCCATGTTACAAAAACAGCCTGTTCTTAGATGAACATTGTAAAGACTGGCCATCTTTCCTACCTGTAGAAATAAAGACTCAGGTAGCTACCTAGAAACACAACAGCAATGACACAACCCCAGAAAAGTGCTCAATTGGAAATGAAATGCAAATGTTACTAAATTAGCATAATGTTGCATACCTCACTGTAGCCAACAAACTCTCCATTTGCTCTTAGCAGGTTAAAGTTTATTACAGGGCCCTGCTTTGTGTTGTCCTTAAAGTCTGTTTCACAGTAAATTTTACACAAAGAGTTTCCAGAAGTGTGTGTCATTGCAGACATCTTTTCATAAACATACAAAGCAATGCTATGGGTGTGATTCAACACATCTGTCAGTGATCCTACCAGCTGTTCATACAGTTGAAAGGAATGATGCAAAGCAATGATCTGAAGAAAGGGAACTGTGCCATCTTCAAACCTGAAAAGTTGAGGAAATTTTTTATCATGAATTACATATACTAGCTTAAATTAAGGTACAACTCAGGGCTCAACACTAATGGTAGCCCACTAGCCACAGACTAGTAGAAATTCAGTTTTGGCTATTGGATTTTGGTTTCCACTAGCCAGTTTGGCTGGTAAACGAACTGACACTGTCGTAGCATCTAAGATGTCACCAGCCACTTGGCTAGTAGGTTGAAAAGTTATTGTTGAACCCTGCAACTAATATATCCAAATAAGGCAACAAACTTGAAAAAAGAAAGCAATCTTGATATTTTGGTATTTAAATTTGAAAAATCTATGAATGATGAATTTCAAGTTGAAAATTTGGATGCTGCCTTGGTAGTTTCAAACCCTGGATCTCTTGCCTTCCTTTCAATTCAAACCCATTAGAATATAGAAATGATAGACCTCTCTTTGCAATCCATGGTAAACCCAATTCATTTTTCAGTAAACAAGTCAGAAGAATAATTAGGTGGACTGCAATATCCTGATATGACACTGAATTCCCTTATTAACTGATTTACAAGAAAATGTATGGCAGCTGAAAGGGAGAATTACTAACTACTTCATTACTCAAACTGAGGTAGTAGGGAAAATCTCAAACTGAGGCCTAGCCAAATAAACGTTTGAGATTTTCCCCTATTATGACCAAATCGTGGAGATTCATAAGTTATTCATTAAATGGCCTATGAATTGAGGAAAAAAATGTATTGCAGTGGAAGTGGTTAATTAAATTCCGTGATGCATGGGTTTGCCAATTCATGCAATTACTTAAACCTTTAGCAAAACCCCAAACTGAACTTTGCCAGTGTATCATGTTTTCTGCCCAGAACTCACTTATTTTTGGGGAAAATGATCTCTTGCTTGCACAGCCTTAAGAAAGTATTTTGGTAGAGAGGTGCACAACTGATGAGAAAAATTTTGTTTAACTTTCAAGGCAAAACATCAACTGGAATGCATACAGAAAAGAGCTTCAAAATAGTCCAAACAGATACAGCCTCTTGGTAAAAGAAAGTACAAATGCTTCTAAATGCACTGTTCAGAATATTTCAGCCTTTGCCTTAGTTTGCTTTTGACATCATATGTTATATTAGATGTAAGATTGAATTTACCTTTCCAGCACAATCTCAAAGGTAACTTTAAACTGTACCTTCACTTCATTTTCATTCACTTGAATTTTAAAAAAAGAAGAGAGCTGCCACAGTACTTGGGTGACTTTTCTGCACTTCCTAATCTGCATAATCCTGAATCAGCCCTGTATAATGCCCTGCTTTAATCTTGCTCTTACCCAATCAGAGCATGCCTCTTATTGACCACAAACCAAAGCCATATAGAAAATATACTCAATGTGTGGTTCCTTAAAATAAAATACTGGACAGGTACTTCTCATGCATGGTACTAGAGTTAAAAGCCACATTCCCTCAAACATCTTTTCTAGAGCACTCCCCCCCACCCTTAGGAATTACTAAATTTATTTCTACTTCAATTTGCAGCCAAAATAAATGCCTGTGATTGTGTTTGGAAAATCAAATATTAAGTCTTTCAGTGCAACATTTTACTGCCTTCAAGAGTATTGTGAACGTGATCTAATCCCAAGGACACTTTATTTTTGTTTTGCTCTGCAAAAATATTCTCTAATCTTCTCTAATCTAAGCTTTAATAAGTGACATTACACAAATTACCTAAAGGATACTGAGACTATAAAAAAACTGTAGTTAAATCAACATTTGTCACATACAACACTCAATGGTCGGTATATAACTATCAGCTCCTTCCATCTCCTAGGAATTATAATTATAATAATAGCTATTTGTACATGCATGTAAATCTTTCTAGTGTCAAATACAAAAGAAATAATAGAGAAAAAATGTAATAAACTTACTTTTCAGCAAGATTGTTCTTAAGGATATGAAACCTTTCATCAGAAATTGTTGCTTGCACTGTTCCTCCACCATAATAACACTTTTTTAGTAAATGTGAACTACTGTTCTTTACAATAAGAGCACCTAACCCTGTGGGAAAACCAAACATCTTGTAGAAAGAAATGGGAATATAATCTGCTGGACATGATGCTAAGTCCAATGGAGAGGTGCTCACAAATGAAGATGCATCCAAAACAACAAACCAATGGCACCAAGGACTCTTGTTGACTAACAATCCCTGTTTAACTTGTGAAATCCATTTAAGAGGATACTTCTTCCCTGAGAAATTACACATTGCAGGAAAAGCAAATAAATTATGGCAAAGGTCAACAGTCTCTTGGTCACCATTGCTCCTGGAATTAAATTGTTTTAGATCAGAATCTTCCTCTCTCTCTTCTGTTGAATAGGAGATTTGTTCTTCCAAGTCTTTTTCATTAACAGAAATAATTTGAGCCCCTTTTGAAGCAGCTATTTCTCTCATACCAACCACTGACGTATGATTCTCTTGAAGGTAACAAAATTTACTTTGATGAGCACTTTCTTTACTGATGGCTCCCCTCCAATCAAAGCTTTCGGCCAAAAGTTTCAATGCAGCAGTAGCACCAGAAGTGAAAATCACAGTATGTTGTTCTGAAGATGTATTGAAATGCTTTAAAATCCTTGTGCGGACTTGCTGAATGACATCACTAGAAAGCTGACTGCTTGGGTTCTTGCTGTGGGGATTTCCATACACATTATAACTTAAGTCACTATAAGCATTTGCAATAACACTCTGTGGATACTGTGTTGTTCCAGCATGATCCAAGTATGTAATACCTACAACATATAAATTACCTTATTATTAGTTAATTCAAATTATAATGATATAACTTCAGGTTCCCTTAAACACCAGGCACAAGAATATCTTTTTTAAAAGCTCAAGGGGAGAATGTATCCACCAGGGATAGAACTCACAAAATCCTATGGTTGGTGTGTCATAAGATAGAAAAATTACAACCTTTCTATTACATTTCCTAACTGCTATTAATGAACAATAATCTCATGATCTCAGGTTAATCACACACATCGAGTGATTTAAGCCCCATCTACACGAGCAATTTTTATATGGCAATTTTTATGTGGCAATTTTTATCTGCTCGTGTAGATGATGAAAAATGACCAATTTTTATGTGACAACTACTTTTGCCGAAAAGCTGGCGCGTTAGTTTTTATGTAGCAAATAAAAATTGCCACATAAAAAAATTGTCCGTGTAGATGAGATGCCACATAAAATGTGACAAACATGCCTAAAGCTGCAACACGTCTGGCACGTCTTCTGACTTTCGCCATCTTGCTTTTATCCTTTCCATGAGCATCTCCGCTGTGCAAAATTATTACTGACGCAAATTAACAACAAATATTTGTCGAGTCATCTACATGGGCAAATAAAAATTGCCACATAAAAATTGCTTGTGTAGACAGGGCTTTAGGGATCCTCAACAGGTGTCATATTTCACCTCTACCTCCCCAGAGCAGTAACCCCTCAATAGTGACCCCTCAGGGGGCCATCATGGAGAGGTTTGATTGTGGAATAATATCTCAATAGATAAACTTAGTACTCTATAAGAAATAAATTATTATTATTACTAATTATTATGATTATTAAACTTATAAAAATAGGTTAAAGAACCATTCGGATCCCAGACAGAAATCACCATATTACATGAAGTAAATATCAATGAGGTGCTGCGCCACATTGATTGATATAAATTGAGCAAGTAGTCAATAGCCGGATGTTCTATGTTATGCAACAGTATAATTTCTACCTGGCCTTCTTAAAACAATATTCAGGTTCTTCTCTGATAACCGGATACCACTATGTACGTTCAGCTGAATTTGTTTAAGTTCTGACTAAGAAATAACCGCTAAACTTATGTTACGGTGTAGTAGACAACAAATGAATTCCCACAAATTAATTGCATGATTTGAATGTCCGCAAACGGCCTCAAAAGAAAACGTATTCATACCTTCCAGTCGTTTAAATTCCTGTTTTCTTATTTGTTCAATTTTATTTCCATATCCATAATGTTTCCCGAAAGAATGCATAAACTCATCCTCCTCAACCTCTTTCTTCAGCATTGTATGTCTGCCCCTTCGGCCGAATAAGCACTCACGCCCGATGTCCGAACGTTCACGTAAGGAATGCTCTGTTTTGATGAGAGATGACATACTAACCTGATGACGTCCGCGGTGCTCATATTTTATTATATCAGCGGTAGTAGGTATTGCTCAGTTTAGTGTTTAGTGTAAAAAGTAACGGTTATTCAGTGGTTCATCGTCCTCCTCCTTCAGAGGTCGCGGCTAAAAGGGATGACACAAAAGGACCTCATTCAATATTCTAGAAAACATATTTGGAGTGAAAATACAAAAAATGTAAATCAAAGAAAACATAAAAATATGTTTTCTATAGAATTTTAATGAGGTCCTTTTGAGTCATCTCTTTTAACCGCGACCTCCTTTAGAGCAAAATAGTTTCCAGATGGGATGGAAACTCGATTTTTCTCATATTAAAAATTGTTTATTTCACCTCCTTTAGAAGACTCAAAATGGAGACTCTTAGTGGGACACTATATGTCAAATTACATAACATATCCGGCCAAGAGTTATGATGGCTACCAGAAAGGTTGACGTAAGGTTAATCAAAAGAAAGAGGGAAGCAAAAAAGACAGTTGATTCCCCACTGGCTAGGTACTATATTCTGGAACTTAAAATGTTTGGAGCACTATTATTGTTGGGTTAGAAGTTTGCCCTACATTCCCTTACGTTTATCAGGTACAATAGTGCTGGCCAGCTATCTTGTGTGGTATGCGACATAAACATAAAGAACGAATTTCTGTGGACCTCACATGTCCTTGGTAAAAAGCACAAAGAGGTAAATTAAAGGGTAAAGATCCACTAAAGAGAGTAACAGTGCATAACATTTTCATTTAATTATCGTCAGGTCTTAGGTTCCATGCTCAACTTGTAACCAAGAATTTTTTTATTTGGCAGAACTTGGCAAACCTAAAAGGGAAATCCAAAGCAAACTTATCAGTTACAGAGGTGCAAAAGCCAGTTAAAGTAAGTGGCAACTTAGCTTGTTATGTTCTATTTTGAACACTGACCCTTAGTTACCATAAGAGGTAAAGAAGAACGACGGAAATTAAATGGTCTATTTTTGCAGACCCTATGTACTGTACATGCGCAGGAGAGACGTAATGACTAAAAGAAGGAATGACCTAAAACCACCTAGAACCACCCACAACCACCATCTAAAACCACCTAAAACCACCTACAACCACCTTCAGAATACTATTGTGTGACAATTTGAGACAATGTAAGTGCACACCATTACTTAATAAGGTCACGTATCACAGCGCCGCGAGACTATGAGACGTATTTGGCCTGCCAACACCTTTAACTCATTGATATTTTAGACAGCAAAACAAAAAGGCCATCACACTATCATTGGGCTAGAAAGTCATGAAAGCCACGCCACAATTTTTCGTAACACTCACAATAGCTCCCTGTAGGTCATTGTAGCTCATTGTAGGTCATTGTAGCTCATTGTAGGTCATTGTAAATCATTGTGGATCATTTTAGGTCAGTCCTTGTTTCCACGGTAGCTCATTGTAGGTCATTTCTTGTTTTAGTAACTACGTGTAAAAAATTTTCTTGGTGTTTTTCCCTGGTCATGACATGCGACAACATTTCTGGTGTGCATTTAAATTGTCACAAATTGCCACACAATAGTATTCTGAAGGTGGTTGTAGGTGGTTTTAGATGGTTGTAGGTGGTGGTTGTGGGTGGTTTTAGATGGTTGTAGGTGGTTTTAGGTGGTTTTAGGTCATTCCTTCTTTTAGTAACTATGGCAGGAGAGACTGGGCTAAATGTGAAATCCAGTGGTAGGTCTTTGGTGTTGAGCTGGATAGAGGCATTGAGAGTTGAAAGTCAGTTCTCCAGGATTTAAAAACCTGGGTGAAGTTCTGGTGGTCCTGGTTCGAGCACATACATGTACATTGCTCATCGAGAAAGACAGTAATTGTTGACTAAGGTGAGGTCTCGGAACACATGTTGGAGGGAAGGCTGGTAGTTGCCAACTATATCATGTTTTAGAATGTGCCGGGGTTGACAAGGTAGTCTTCTCAAAATATACTTTTTATTTTTTGGAAAGGTTTAATATAAGTAACAAGGAACTTCGAATATGGCTGTGAATGCCTGTGTCCAAGCTGATAACATCTAGTCCTTCATATGTACACAATTAAGTAAGAAAAAATTACAAATAGAACATACCAAATAGTGGTTGACTCTAAATATTGGTGTTTCTCTACTGAATAAGTTTTCTTCCATAATTTGTTTGTGAAATAGAAAGAAAAAGAGAGAATTTTAAACAACCATGGTCTTGGTTTCCTGGTGTAAACAAAACCATGCACAGCTATCATGTTGATGGTAATTTTTATGTATAAACCAGTTGTTTCCTGTGTGCTGTAAGAAATTACTGAGCAACTTAATGTGTTGGGTTGGGATTTTAAATCTAATTTGGGGGTTGGGATTAAGGGTGTAAATATCTTGGAGGGGACTTAGAGTCCTATTGCATTTACACCCACCTTCGGGTGAATCATAAATAAAAAAAAAAACTTTGTTCCACTTTTAATGTTTCCTTTTGAGATATACTTTGATGAACAAATTTTCAGCAGGTTGAAACAAATGATGAAGCTCCAAATAAAAAAATTAAAGGTCAGTTCATTAAAATTTTTCAGAGAATCACCTTAATCAAGATTTAACATTTAAAGCACATCTGAGTTTTGATTCATGTACTATAATTTCCAGCTGTTTATTCACAGGTTATCTGTTGATTTTGCATTAAACATGCATCACTACAGGTAATAGGGAGGTGGGGGTTATGTAACAGTTTTAAAATCTACTGGTGGTTGAACTGAAAAAAATTCTCACCTACATGTACCTGCATTTCCACCTCTCAACTGTGTTTTATTGTTATAGTATTAAGAGTGCCACAAAGTGGCATGAAAACATGATGCTGACTCAAGGTTACTTTATTCATAATTAGTTGTGTAACGAACAAATTTTTATCGCTACGTGTAAACAAAACCTTGATTTCCAGTTAACACTAACAGAATTTTCCTGTTATAAGGGACTTGTTAGGCCCAGTAGAACTGGAGATATCAATTTTTTTTTAAAAATTGGCCAATAGTAGTTTGAAAGCCCGGTCGGAAATTATGGTAACCATTTGGAATACTCATCACTCCATGACATCAGCGTTATTCATGGTTAACACAACTTTCATTTACTGATAGATCTTGAGTTTTGTCAGCGAACAACTTTTTCGTTATCTCGGATATTTCAAGACATCAATCATGTATATGTTGTAGTTCAATTTTATACTTGGTTCAAATTTTATTTACCTTTGTTCTCGGCCATGTCAGTGTATGCATGATAATGAGTTTGAAACAAAGGAAAATAAAATTTGAACTAAGGATAAAATTGAACTACAAGATATACAACATAACAACCATGTTACGCTTGATACAGACCAGACAGTGTAACTAACGTGGTGCAAAGTAGTTGCTACACCATTCATTTTAAGTTAGTTAAGTATAATTAATTTTAGGATATGGGTTATATATTACTATTTCATATTTATTATTACTAACAGTAATTTTTTTTGACATCCACAGTTGATTACAGGATTGACACAAACAGGTAGATCTTCATTGGCGCATCATTGTAGTACATTACATGTAGTTTACCATATAATTTTTTTTTTCCTTGAGCACTGTCAAAGTCACTGTCACTGTCACTGTCAAAAGCACTGTCACTGTCAATAGGAAAATTAAATGGTATGTTAAAGCTGATATTGCACACTCATCACCTAGCAATTGGTACAGTATTGATTTTCAAGTGCAATTTAACACGAAATTCATGGGTCAGGTAATTGGATTTTCCTTGAGTCACTCAATTGAATGAAAATAAGAAAAAAAGAAAACAGCAATAATATAATTGTGTGTTTCTATCTTGAGCACAAAACAAGAGACGTGAAACAATATCACTTACCCTGGTTTTCAACTGGTAATTCTATGCTTAACACCTTGCTCAGTTAACCAATAAGAATGCAAGATTTAATTCAATTAATATGCGATTCTAATTTTAATATTCTGAGAGGTCCAACGTGGCCACCTAATATAATCTGGCCAACCATAAGTCAATACTGAATCAAAAGAGGTGACACTGATTGTGGCAGTTGTAGATTGAACCAATTTATACCATTTAGATTTTGGAAACTTTTTTGATTTCGTCACAACTAGATGTACAAGAGCAAATCATCAGTACAAACTTTACGTCAAACCAGCAAGACTTAATTGTTATAAACATTCGTTTTTCATTAGGATTGCTAAATTATGGAATGAATTACCAAGAAACATAGTGGAAGCTGATAATCTTTAGCATTTTAAATCTCAGCTTAAATTGTACTTAAATATTTAATTATAACTAAGTATCTTATTTTCATTTAGACTTATTTTTTAGGGAGTTTTTCCATAGGGATAACCTCTTAACTTCTTTTTCTGGAAGCATATTTTCCCTTTCCTCTTAGTGTATACATAGTCTGCTTCTGGAATTAATAAAGTATGTATGTATGTATGTATGTATGTATGTATGTATGTATGTGTGTGTGTGTGTGTGTGTGTGTGTGTGTTGGGTGGGTATACAGCGCTTTGGACAATTAGTGGATTTTAGCGCTATATAAATACAATTATTATTATTATTATTATTAATAAAGTATGTATGTATGTATGTAATTATAACGAACTGGTTCAAGACTTCAGAGGTAGTTCATCGTTTTATTACGACAGGTCTGTTTCGTATAGTCGAAAATGACCACACTCATGAGGTAATTTCAACGTATGTATGTATGCATGTGTGTGTGTGTGCGTGCGTGCGTGCGTGTATGTATGTATGTATGTATGTATGTATGTATAGGCAAACACGTGGCTATTGAATGGGCCAACCTAAATGTTTTGAGCAAGGATGGTCAAAAAAGTTAAACCTCTGCTAGAAGTACCAGCAAAGGCAGTCGTATTGTAGGACATAAGCTGAAAAATTCTTGTATTGCTCTTGGCCTCAGTTTTACGGTGAAATTTTTATTCAACTATGAAAGGCTTTTCTGTCAACAGATTAATAATTAATTACTAAAAATGTAAAGGAAACAATTGATAATTTTTAAAATTTACTACGGCTGTATTCAATTACTGTCAAACGTCAACCACATTTGACAGTAATTCTGGTATTGTCTTAGCTATACAGACAGTTTAGAAGAAAAAAAGGATGAGACTTCCACAGATAACCAATCACATTTGCCTTCAGGTAAGAAATTGTTTCCAGCTATCATGTGGTTGTATTTTTACCGAACAAGATTTTACACAGTCAACTGGCTACATAATACGAAAGGAACTAATTAAAAGTTTTAATTAGCCAGAGAAGAAGCCTGGATTCTGACTGAGAACTTGTTTTCACAAGTGGATAGAGTTTGTTGCTGGTTTTCATCATTATCCGTGTAACAGATTGATGCACCTGGTCAGATTACGTGAAGCAGTTATAACATGAGGTGGTCTAAAAGCTGGTTACAGTATGCTTGCATTTGTTACTGTAAAGCAAATATGTGTGGTTTAAGGAATGATGTACATTCCTTTTTATCCTTTTCAGACTTCTTTGATCATGGAATCAAGTCTGGAATGCAAGAGAATATTCCCAGGTGTTAATGGTTATTTTACTTTAGTTAGTAAATTCCTAAATCATATTAACCATATCGCTGTTTTTTTTCATTTTACACAAAGTCATATCAAGTCCATTGTTTCTTAGGAAATTAGTAGAGTACAGATTTTATTTTGGGATTAAGTGACAATTTATTCATAACACATTTTAACTGAAAAATTTCCATCCAATCTATTGTGCTGTTTATGTACTTATGTCATTTGGTAAGTTATTTTGTCCCTAATCACCTGACTTTTGTTGATATTGTTTCCTATGAATGCATGAAAGAGGAGATTCTACAGAAGGCATTCCAGAAGGATTTTTTGATGACCCAAAACTAGATGCAAAGGTTTGAAAGTCATGCAATTCACTGTGTGTCTAAATTGAAAGTTTAAGTTCCTTCCTATCTTGAAAAGCTTCATGAGTTTTTGGTTATAATCTCTGAGAATTGAGGTTCTGTGCTAACAGTGCACACTTTAACATTCAAGATAAGGTCATTTGCAGCATAATGACTGAAAGGTAGGACACATAGTCACACTGTTAGTTTATTAGCACAGTAAAAGGCTACATTGTATGCCCTATATTCCTAATAAAATATACAATTTACTTATCTTTGTTTTTTTTTTTGCATTTAACTTCTTTTTTGGAACTCAGTTTTTGCTGGACATCTCCAAGTAGGTCCGTAAAGTAGAGTACAAAGATCAGGCTGAGGAGCAATGGGAAAAGTTCCAGAAAGAAATGCAAGTAGAAAACCAGGTGCTGAAAATATATATATTTTAAAACAAATCAAAGTTTGGATGGTTCAGTGAAGCCATTTTATTGCTCTGTTTTCCATGTTTATTTTAGTTTTGTTCTACAGTGTTATACCATTGCATAGTTTGTACATTCTATTTCCTTAATATGGTAGTGGTGGATTGGCATAATGGTGTTCAAGTCAGGATAAAGAATGATCTTTTTTGAAAGCATTACATTACAGGGTAGAAGAATTCAGTGTTGTTACCTTGTTTTTAAGTATTAGTTGTAATGTTTAAAACTTTTTACCAGTCAGATCAAATCAAATATCATATAGCCCACTGTATATGGCAACATATGGGTTTGATATGGTGCATAGTGTCCCATATCAAAACCATATGAAATCCATGTGGCCCATAGATTTTCCCATATCAGACCCATACATGGGCCATAAATGTCCCATATCACTCAGTTTGGTAAGGGTGAGTGTATGGGAGCTTAGACCATTGTATTTTTGTTTTGCATACAATTATTCAGACACCAGTGGTAACCATAAAATTGTGGCAAACAACTGCTTTGTTAAAGCTCCATTCTTTCTTTGGTGGTAGAATGGTTAGCAAAAATTTCACACTGTTTACCTTATTCATAACTTGAAATGATTAAAAAAAAAACCTGTAGTAAGCTGTGTAAAAAAAATTGACTGCCTTTATAATCGCAGCAACTAAGACTTAATATGTGATATCTTTAACATGGTGTAATGGGTGGTTTAATTGTGTTAAAGCTGCAGCTGACATTGTTTTTCACATCTGTGAATATGATTTGTTGGGGGACTAGCACAGGTTATCCATGATCCCTGACCCCTTAATAAAGATGGGAAAGTCAGGGTAAGCCAAGAGGACCTACGTAACTTAAAGGTTGTTGTTCCCTATTACCTTTGCATATATTTTGTCAGGTGTCACAGTCCATTGTTGAAGGAGAAGATGAGGAGTCCAGAGTTAATAGGGAATTATCAGAACTCAGTGAACAGAGGTAAATGATTATGATGATAGTGATGATCATAATAATAATTATGATTTAAACACCAATGAAATACCAGGTGAGCTTTTGGCAAAAATTTGATATCTTCAAAGGTGAAAATAACATGTTGTCTTCTCACATGATAAATTGCACCTTTAATTTACAGCAAAAGTGAAACCGATTGGTTTTTCATTGTTAAATGTTTCATGTTGAAAATTTTTCACTCATTTGCTTCGCTCACACGTGAACTATTCTTCAACACTCAATGAGCAATTTTGTATTTAGACATGGCCATGTCTTAAAAAGACGTTCTGGTTTTAAATTGACCATTACAAGCCTGTATTGTATTTTGTTTTTTACTTATAATCAGAGTCTACTTTCTAAGAGCTGATGCCTTACGCGACAGACAGAGTGCTTTAAAGGAAAAGTCCTCCAAACTAAACAGTCTTCAGCCACAACCACACGAACAAACTGACAGCAATAGTGATGATAGCGATTTTGATGAATTTCTTGACTGGAGAGCAAAGAAAGTCTCCTGATGAACTGCTGATTCACTCTGCTCTAGGTGTTGCAATGCATCTAGATACGCAACTTTCCCTTGTTGCCTTGATATATTTGTACTGGCATGGTCTTTGCCTGAAATGATTAATATTAAGATAGCAAAGCTGAAGAATCAAGTTTTCAAGACAGAGGAAAAACTTACATGTCAAGGAAGGGGCCTAGGAAAGGAACACCTGAGCAGGAGCAGTGGTATCAGTTCCTTTATAAAAAGAATTTTACTCTTATTTCATTTCTTGGTCTAAGAAACAGAGTGTTCTGAATTGAGGCATTTTGGAACCCTGGATCCACCGATAGCATTCGCAGAATATATAAAAATAGATATTGACTGCAGAATACGGACTGGGGTGTTTTTGTGGAATTTGCTCTCCGCACACGCTGGTTCAACAAACGAGGACTGTATACTCTCTTTTAAGTTGGCTTTTATTCTTCAGCTCACAACATTCACGTTCTGCCCTATGATCTAACTCACTTACTGTAGGATCACAAGTGCCACTTTTATTGGCTACAGATATCCACACCCAGATACGTAGGTCAGGTGTGGTCGGATAGGGCTTAGTTGTCTACATAATTTCCTAATCGGTTGATCCCAGTTGCATGGGTCTGTTAGACAAATCTTATTATCGTTAATCTTAACACGTACGCGATTTCACTAGCAATTATCTAGTTAATTACATCATTGTTTGTCGATCCTTCTACGCATTCTTTGTCAATATTTCCAGTTACATTCTACCGGTTACATTCTACCGTTCCCTATTAGAGGTAAAGAACCAATAACTCACTTAGTGCACCGCTAATCATGCAAAATATAACAAAACAAGCAAAATCCTAATAATGGGTGTAAAAGTTCTATAACAGGTGTAAAACATGGGCTGCATACTTCAGACCAGGTTCTAAATAAGGACTGAAGTGAGGGTTCTCAACATAAAGACTGTAGCAAATCAAACAAAGAAGAACAAGAATACGAAGCACAAACATTCTTATGTGGCAAAGTAACAAAGATTTCTGGTGGACTGACTTAACCAATTTGAACCCAGTAAATTATATTCTTAGAGGAAGATAGATGACTTGAGTGACTCGATCACATTGTTGGCTTATGAGTCTAATAAAAGTTAGTTAGTCATTGAGAGAAATATTATCTTTATTGAACAAATTGGAAATCTTTGCTAATCACACTCTTATCAAAATCAAAGAGTACTTAAAATTTCCTACATCTCATTGAGAAATTGAACTCATCATGACTACCTACTGTTACAATGTTTGCAAATCAGTCACTTTGATTTCAAAATTAATGCCTTAACCGTGTAATGAGTTAATCAAGAGAGTGCTGAACATCAATGCTTGGGGCAAATGATGACAGGTATATGTGCATGATGAAGGACATAATCACTGACACTTCCGACAAAGGTGCGTCTTATGGCACCCATTCCACGGCTTCCCATGATGAAAAGATCAATGCCACATTCCTTTACTGTATTGCAAATAGCCTCCCCTGGTTTACCACCACATAGCTTTATCTCAAATGATGCCTGATAAAGTAAAAAAGGTAAGTAAAATGAGGATTCAGTAAAATTGACAATGGTAACAAAAGTCTATGTACACACATAAGGGGTGTGAGTCTGCAATACCAAGCTTATCTTGAAAAGATAACACGACCTCCTCTGTCTTGCACTGACTGATGGGTAATGCAAAGTTTAGTAATAATAAAAGTACACCAATCAGACTTAATAACGGTGTACTTGTTTATCAAAGAGGATGTGAAATTACCCGATGATTTGCACTGGTCAGAGAAATTATACAGTACATGATTTTGAATCAAATGGAAGAAATCATAAAATAGGCAGTTTAAGACTGCAAGTGGCAACTGATACAGTGCAAGTTTACAGCACTGAAAATAGCAAGAGATGTTTCACATGCAAAAGAGGAGACCTGATGCATCCCACAAATTTTCACAAAAGGATGATTAAAAATGTGTTGACTAATTAAAACAACCAATAACTAAATGGTTAAAATAATCGTGTTAACAATCAATGGTGGTAATAATTATTAAAACAATAATAATAGTGATAACTTAAGGGGGATAGCTCAAGAACCTTACTGTTCCTCTATCAGTCTATCCTCTTAGCTCCACAAATGATTGAACTGTGCTTTTAATTTTGCATGATAAATATAATTTTTTTTTATTTCATAGCAATTCCATTTTTGTGAGACTTGTTTCATACAATAAGACATTCCACATTCTAGGATATTCCACCATTCCACACTGTTGAATAGGGTCACCCAGTTAAACTCTTGACCTTGCTCTCTTTGCAAATTTAGTGGATCTTTAGGGCATTTGTACCTACTGAAATGGTAAAATGCTTTCTTCGAATGATGAAATTATTTCCTTAAAGTTCCCATGATGTGCAGGTCAAACCTACTTAGCTATTTCTGTAGTAAAAGTCTTGTTTCAATTACATGCCACAGGAGATGCCCCCGTGAAATTATTTTGAGATGTTTATTATCTTTAGTTGTGTCACAGTGAGAACTGAAAAAATTTTATTTTCTAATCTACTGGGTATAATTTGCTGATTTAAACGGTAAAGTGCTCTCTCTTCAAAGAAAAAAGTTTATTTCTAGGTCTAATGAGCAGATCACACCTTTTAAGATAATTATTTCTGCAAGGAAAAACTTTGTTTTTTCACACGCCATCCTGAAGTTATTTTGAGATGTTTATTGTTTTCTGTAGTACTCCAAAACAAAGAATGAGTGGCACTGTGAAACATTCTGTCAAGATGGGAATTCTATTGTTACCATCAGTTACTCATCTCCACACCAGATGTGGCTTCACCTCCTATAGGATGCAGTAACCACAAAAACTGTTAATTATACTTGGATTAGTTGTGTAGTTGAGTGGACTTTGAATTGGTAGCTGGTTTCTGGCCCATAATGTGGAATCTAAACTTTACTTTCATGAGTGGGGTGCCCCAGTCAATTTTGTTCATAGGAATTGCCCGTTTGCAGTTTTCAGGAATTGCCAGTTTGCAGTTTTCTTCATTACAGGCTTGTGAAAATGTGCATTTTTTTTAGTAATAATCTTAAATATGGTCAATTTTGATGCACAACATCAACATCAACATTCTGAGCTTGTCTTATGCACTTAACCTGTAAGATAATTAAAAAATAGACACATGACTGTTTGTTTCGCCAAAAATTGGAGGCCTCTGAGGCAGGAAATTGAACATTTGGTTCTCTGAAGATTGCACTTATTTTACACTACAAAACAAACAAAACGAGCTGTAGTGCAACAATTAGGCATTGGTGGATGCCACAGTGAAATTATCTAGAGATAGTTATCTTCTATAATGGTAGTGTCCTATATGGCAAGAACTAAAAAGATTTTATAGTAGGATTTACATAATTTGCAGATTTCATTATAAAATTATGGTAAAATGCTCTCTCTTCAAAGACAAATATTTTCCCCTGAGTTTTATGATGTACCAACCATACCTACTGAGAGATTTCTGCAAAGAAAACTTCTGTTTTAAAGTGCTACTGCCACCAAAAATGCACCTTTTCTTTTCTCCTCAGAGGTTGAAAGTACTTACCCTAAGTAACAAATCTGCCAAATCTTAAGGCAAAACTCCATCAAAATGTAATATTATTTTCTCTGTAGATTGGCGATCTAAACGGCTGCGATTCTTTGAACTACAGAACTCCACGCGAAGAAGAAGAAACTGGGTCAAGAACGAAAGTGACGTCAACGACTCAACAAACGTGGCTAATTTGATATGCAGAGAGAGAGTTGTTTTTCTGGTTCCACAGGAAAGAAGGAATAAAATTCGAAAGAATTGTTCCCCAGCTTTCTTTTGCGTATTTCTTGTAAAGGCATGCCTTCACGACGTTGTCAAAGTGAGTCAATGACATCACAACTAAAAACCGATTTTTGCGGGCTCTCCTGAGTGTGTTATTCGGGCAATGGCGGAAGAATTTTTAATGTCTTTGTGGCGCTGTTTTTAAGGAATAACGTTGTCAAATTTGAAAAACTTATGCTTATTCTTATAGTTTAGGGTCTAAATGTGAAGTTAACACCAGAAAATTGGAAAATAAAATGCAAATAATTCATCGCAGTAGCACTTTAAATTGTGAGATATTTATCACTATCTACAGTCATAGTGTCACAGCAAGTCCTTGTAGTGTCACGACCTGTACTGAAAAGATAATACCTTCTGATCTACATATTTAGCTGATTTAAACAGTAAAAAGTTTAAAGAAAAAATATATTCCTTGAAGTTTCATGATGCACCAATCTAACCTGCTAAGATATTTCTCAAAGGAAAAATTTTTGTTTTTTAAATCGCCCACAATCCTGAAATGATTCCTGCCTTCCCTATGAACTACAAGCCAGAAATCACAAAAAGGAAAGAACTCAACTGTGTATTGAGTTCAAATGTCAAACAACTAATTATAAGATACTCCAAAAAACAAAAACAAACAATAAGTGGGTAACATATTAGATTAAAATTGGGTCAAGATTGGAATTCTATTGTTACTCTCACTCTTACCCTCACTCACTCATCGTGACAATAATATGTGGCTATAAATCGCCCCCTTTAGGGGGCAGTAGCCACAAAAATTGGAAAAGCACAGAAAGATGAATGGGAGAACTTTTCTTTCAAAGTTCCTCTAATCCCAAGCCTATGAATGCATAATTAACACCAGATAAAGCTAGGAATTCTATTGAGACCTAAAATTGGCAAACAAAACATACACTATTGCCTCCATTGATAAAGGCTAAAAGACTGTTATGTCCGACATACCCCTGCAGCAGTCAACTTTGTTTTGTATTTTTCTTCAAGTTCTTTCACTTTCTCAGTGTGATCTTTGACATGTTGTTCCCAGTCTTCTTTAGTGATTGTTTCTGATGAAATACAATTGTTACCAAAGAGCAAATGGTATGGATGTTTCAAAATCTTTGATCAATGACAGAAATGACTAGAGTGAACCAGCACTTACCAATGGAGCCAGAATGAGTCATTTCACTCACATGGATGATAACAACAGTATCACCTACTTGCTTCATGTTTTTCAAATACCCTAATGAATAATAATTCATTCATTAGTAATGAAGTGTGTCCATTCTCAGTAACTGATAAATAAAATCCTTTTTAGAAATATAAGGCAAAAAAATTATCTATAAAATTTAAAAACACACAATGAGGATGAACTGTTTTTTTTAATTCATGAGGCCTAAGATATTCTGTCTTCATTATCATGAATGGATGATCAAGAACTTTTTCTAACTTGAAGTAGGTTTGTTCCATCTTTGTAATCTTACGTGTAATATAATAGTAATTACTTATTATTTAATTGTTTATCATAAAGATTACCAGGTTACACAAACATGGTTATGAATGACTGGAAAACTCTTCTTTACTAAGAAATAACAATGACAAAGTTTCTTTGAGCCTCCACAAACTATATATTAACTGTAATTTTGGTTTTATCAACTGAGTTGATAATGCAAATTGTTCACCTTAATTAAAGAGTTTCAAAGCTGACTTTTCAAGCTTTAGCCCTTTGTCAGAGCAAAGGATGAAGGGCTAACACTCAAAATGTCAGCTTTGAAACTCTTTTTAAGAGTTTCAAAGCGGTGGCCAATTTACATTATCAACTCAGTTGATAAAATCAAAATTACCTTGTTATACTCCCTCACCAAAACAACACCACAGTTTCTTTAGAAACTTATCGCCTTTATGGTTTTTTCTTTGTGTTTTCGTCCTTCTTTAGATTATTACTATTTTTGTGTGGCTTGCACAAAGTGTGTGGCCACATTATGGCGGGATCAGAATTCATTTATTTGTTGAGCGCCTGTTACATGGTCTAGTGTCGTGTGGTGCACTTGTCTGAGTCAGCCATCTTGGTTTAAGTGTGGTGTCGAGTAATTTTTTTTGTGTTATAAGTCCAGCTTGTGCAAGAGCTTTTACATTCTTTAAAAGACATTTGACTGTTTGAATCTTCCGTGCGGGTTGCACTACACTGAAAGGAGTTATTGCACTCTCACAAGCTGACAACTATCGGTTTGATCTTTTGGTGCAGGTTGCACCACTGAGTGTCTGAAGTGTTTGAAAGTGTCTGTCAAGCCACCTGAAAGTGCCATAAAGTGAAACAAGTTACATTGTAGTTGCATTCTCCCCTTACCAAACTGGTAAGATGGCAATAATATGGGAGAAATGAGTGCCATATATGGACCATATATGGAAAGTAACTAAGTGTATTAAAACAAAATATGGGTTTTATAACAGACCTGAATTAATTCCTAACTTAAGTATGGTTTTAATGTGGAACATAAATTTTAAAACATCAATAATGTGGGAAAAATATGTGAACTGATTTCCCCATACAATAACCACATTATCCCTCATTCAACATTACTTTTACTGACTCTCGATATAATAACCACATTATCTCTTAGTTTGACACATAACTGCAAAATATGGCAGTGATAAAGATAACCATACTAATTCCATATATGGAATTTACATGGCACATAAGAACAGAAATGTTAATTACATCATTCTTTTTTTGCAACATCACCCCTTGTCCATGTTGGAGTCAAGATATGATTTTGCCAGATTTTCAATTTTGAACCCTTGTTTGCACTGAATAGTCATAATGATGGCAAATAAATGCAAGTTATCGCATGTCAATGAATAAAAACTATACAGTTGGACACAATAAAGCCTCCAGGTCAAATTGTAAATCTTGTTGGGTTAAAGATTATTAGCAGTGTTAATGTAATGTTACTTCAGAGTATTACTCAACATATAATTCATCAAAATATTGCTTGTATTCTGATCTTGTTCTGTACCTACCTCTTTTCCCTAAATTCTTCCATTTGCATCCCCATATCCACCTTCCTCTCCTACATTTTTCTGTGTTCTTAATTAAAAAATACAGCCCCACAAAACCCAAATACATTAATGCTGGTAAACGTTGTTCTCTCAACAAACTGTAAACAGAATTTTGTGCTCTAATGGACTGTACAGAAACTTACCCTCAGCATTTTATTACTTTACGTGCGTGTACTGCCAATATTTAAGTCAATTCACACCAAATAAAGCTTCCAATGGCTTCTAATGTAGATTACATCATTTCCTGAAGATTTCGGCCCTTCTGGAAAGTTTTATCCACATGCATGTACTGGTACACAAAGTGCCAAAAATATCCATATGAAATGCTTCCTTAGAGTTAATTTCACATCACTTGCCTTGGAAAAGACAATTAACCAACAAACTATAGAACTCAATTCTACTTCATTACATAAACAAAATCAAGACTGAATCTATCAGGTCACTATGCGAGATGATGTTGACATTTTTTTAGTCTCTAAAATCTTCAGGTTACATGTGCAACCTTTGTTGTCAAAATGTGACCTCAATAACAAAGTTTGGCCATTTTAACCCTCATCTTGAAAATAAACATTTCAGGACTATTGTTTGCTAGTTATCATGTTTTATCAATGAACAGGAATAATACTGAAAACTATCTAACCATAATCAGATATTAGATCTTCTAATAGAAACTCAATCAGACACCAAACACTAAAAAGCATCTCAGTGTCATGAGCTACATATGTACGCATTGCGGACCTATTTTCTTTTCATGTACTTACAAGGGTGAGGTTAAACTTTTTTCTTTTGAGAGGACAAAAACTAAGGGAAAGCTAGAAGGAGACAAACTTTTATATGAGCAAAACCCTTCCCTTGTAGTTTAGGGAGTTCCACTTTACATTTGAGAGGTGCTCTGATCTAATTTTGTTGCGGTCAGTGTAAAACGCAGACTATGGACTGCAGACCAGGGGTAAAATGCAGACTGCGGACTGCAGACCAGGGGTAAAATACAGACTGAGGGTAAAATAAAAGATTAATAATAAAAAACAAGACTTGGGAGTGTTCCTACCCATACCCGTAATTTTTTTTCAAAATCCTGAAAACTCAAACCAATAAGTGTTTATTCAACTTAGTCAAATATATTATCAACCTCGAGTTCTTGAACTCCCCAATTTGTTGAACCAAGTTTCCCAAACTGATCATAATGCTATGCATCTTACCTTTGTTTACAAGTTGGCCATTTTGAATTGTGCTTTCGCGAATAGGTCTGGGACTGAGTACTCTTTCGGCATTCAAATTCTTCGTATGGCCTTGATATTGTTTGGAAGACAAGGCAAACCAAACACACCAGCATAACAACAAGGCAAGGTAAACTTGTAGGTATCGAGCACAGTTTGTGAAAGACATTAACGCAAATTACTGAAAATTACCATGAGATTGTTGTCCTCGTTTTCTGACATTTTATAGTGCCAGGGAAGACGTGACTTTTAGACTGCATGAAGCCGCCTTTGTGTGTTTCTTGAGTCCTGACGGGGCATTATTTTACGGGTACGAACACTATTTCATCCTTAAGACTCGTTTCTTTTATTATTGATATTTTACCCTCAGTCTGCATTTTACCCCTGGTCTGCAGTCTGCAGTCTGCATTTTACCCTCAGTCTGCATTTTACCCTCAGTCTGCAGTCCACAGTCTGCAGTCTGCGTTTTACACTGACCCATTTTGTTTTACTTTAATTTATGAGCCTTTTTAAAAATAAATACTGCATACAATGGAAATTATAACAATGTCCTCCTAATTAACTACTTAACTATGACATCACATAACAAACCTTCTGATACATGGCACAATCATCACTTGATGTTCTCATGGAAGACAAAAACTAAAATGCATTGAACCACTCCCTTGACTATGTTATTGTTATAATTTGGATATATGTNACGAATATAACAAGTAATTATGCGAGTCTGTAGGTTTGTAATACACACTAGTGCATAAACCGTTACCTTCAATTGAAACATTGACGTCTAAAAAGGATAAAGAATTGTCAGAAATTTCCCAAGTATAGTTCAGAGCCGGGTGAAAAGAATTGACTGCGGTTATGAATTGAGTGAGCTCCTCTCTGGTAGAGGAGGTAGTGCCGATACAGTCGTCAATGTAGCGACCGTAGAGTTCAGGTTTGGACGCATTGTATTGGCTGAAAAATTGATGTTCAACAAAACCTACAAAAAGATTGTCATAGCTAGGTCCCATTTTGGTGCCCATGGCTACACCATTGGTTTGTTTGAAGAAGTTGTTTCCGAATGAAAAACAATTGAGTGTGAGCACTAGTTCGGTTAAGCGTAGTAGTGTTTCATATTTAGGTTCCTTAACAGTACTTTGATCAAAAAAATGTTTAAGGGCCAGAAGGCCTTCGCCAATATGTTATTGTTACCCTTCTTAGCATTTTACTTTTAATTTGCAAATTAAATTATCTCTCACTATAATCAGATATAAGGAAGCTGCAAAGCCCAAATGTCCCATACAATTTTCCAGCCTTAGTGAAGAAAACGCATCCCAAAAAGTTTTTACTAAAAATTTGTAGAGAACTATTCATCCATGAACCTTCGACAACCAACTTGTTGTTATCCTAAAAATCTGAGTGAGCCAAATTACGTATTCTACTAAGTCACTCTTTAGGTACCTTCTTAATGTATAAAGAACTTGAAAATTTCTTTCCAAGGGAAGATCTCAGTATCTCCTACCAGGGCTTAGGGTTTGCTTTCATTTGATCAAGATCTGAACCCATAAATTATCTGGCGGGTATACTTTCATTGATTAACTCCTAATTACGAGGTTTTAAAAGCGTTTTCAATTAAAATTAAAAAAAGAAAAAAAGGCTCTGTACTTAGTGACAACTGATCACCAGAGTCACTCGCTAATCAATATCAATTGCTCTTTTTTTAAGCTTAATTAGAGAATAAGGATTCTTGAGACTTTAAATTTGCATTTAAACAGGCCTTAGCTCACTTTAAATGTATAAAGAGGAATCTGAGTACTGTACAACGAGGTATCACTTCCCAGCCATGATCATCCACCGGAAAAAAATTATGACGATTATTGTTTGCAAGGAAGTAACATTCGAAGAAAAATACGTCCACAGTAAAACACTTAGAACGATTCTGAGGTCAGGCGACAATGGCGTGATGCGTAATTGGCGGAAACGATCTAAATCGAACGTCAAACAAAACCAAATGGTAAACCACATTTTCACCTTGAACCACTTACAGTCACAAGCCTTTTCGCTGTGGTCACTTGCATCCACAGGAATGCCGACTTTCCTTCCAGAATTTGCCATGTCACAACGAATTTACTGCGGGGTCAGCGCCTTGTAAGGAGTTGAGCCAGAACTAACAAGGAGGGCTTGTTCAAACCTGGGTTCGGCAGTCGAGCCTCGTCTTTGTGCAGAGGCCAGCGGTACACTATTTGCAGCAAATTCATGTTTTCATGGTTCACCGAAGTTTTGACAGTTGCTATGGCAACATCAGAAATGAGAGCACGCGCTGGCGAGATTTTCCTGAGGGAAAATCATTCTACACTGGCATTGCTGCAACCTGCGGGTTCTTTAATTCTATTTTATTTACTAGTGCACTTTTCATTCTGTTTTCATGTTCTTGTCATTTGATAACCTTTCTCCCTCAAGGTTGTTGTTATGTCCCTGGCTCTACATTCGAGAGGGATCAGGTTTCCTCCAAAATAAAGGGGGTTTTTCCTGACAGGTAGCAGGCATGCTAGTTTATCATGTATCATCATTGCCGTTACAATCAATAAATTGGGTCTGTTGCTCGCTGGAAGCCGGGCTCTAACCATGTGGAGCTTCTAATCTTGTGCAGCAGCCAGTATCCTATTTACCAGTGAAAAGTTGTTTATTGTCTGATTGAGGGTATAGGGTAAACGTGACGCCTCAAACAACACCCTATCTTTCAGTATCAGGCCAGCAGGTGCAGAACCTCTCACGAGGAAATGGGTTTTATTTGTGTGCAAGCAGAAAACTATTTTATCAGTTTCATATGAGACTACACTCTTGAAGTAATAGGCTCTGCATTTAAACAGTGATGTAGGGCTCACACGGGTTGTAAATTGAGAAAAGTTACCCTGGAAGAGTAAGCCCAACCATCTGATTCTGATTTAGCAAAACTTTGACTGAAGACATAAATTTAACTAAAGCTGCCATGAAGTTAGCAGGGAGGAGGAGGAGGAGGAGGACTGGAATGAAATTTTAAAATTCATTCTGTGCATGCCATGATTGCATAGCCTAAGGCTCTCTTAGTGAAGTCATGGCAGCTAACTCTATGGGAAAGAATGATTGACATGTCATCTGTCCATTGAAGAGAAATATATTTTCTGGTAATGTTCTATAGTTTTACTAGTCATTGCTGTTTCTGTTTGGTACTTTGCCCTCAGAGAACTTGTGGTTTCCAGACAATTTTTTAAGTCTAATCAAATTCTGATCAATTAAGTCACATTGTACCGGTACAATGTGACTTAATTGTTTCCCTTGAAATCTAGCAATTCTGTCAATTCAACTGTTCCACAGCCACTGAAGACTCAAGGAAGAGACCTTCCCATAAAAATTTTAAGATCTGAACACAATTAACAGCTAGGAAAAAAAACATTTTGGTTGACCAACCTACGGTCTTGGTTCTGTGATAACTGGAACCCGATGGGCAGGTCACCCAGGCCAAATTGTTTTCCAAAACTCGCTCTGCAATAGTCGCTCGTCAACATACCAAGAATGGATCATAAAATAAAGAACTGATTTGAATAAAAGTCAAAGGAAATGGTAGTGTATGGTCCTACGTGTGTACATGTTTCTGCCTCTGGGATAAAAAAAAAAAAAAACAGTTTGGAGGAATCAACTTCCATACGTTAATGTTCGTACTTAAGACTTGTGGGGATGCTATAGATTACAAAGAAATTTGTTGACTAGAGCAAAGTGACTTGCAATAAAACGGTGCTGCCCTGCTCAAGTATCTAAATATATATTATAGGGATAAAAAGCTTTATCACAAGAGATGAGGCTGTCGATTTTATTGATTTCCACACCTATATACAAATAAAAGTAAGCATTGGAGGAATTTTCCAATCTTTTAACCTACAATAACCACAAACTGCCCTTGAAGCAACAAGGTTTTCATTTCCTGTAAGGCCTGATGTGTAAATGCTAGCCTTTATAGAAACCACATCTTTTTTAGTTCTTCAGTGTCTTTCACTCAAGTAGCAAGTATTTTGTCATAGGATGGCCATCATTTGTGAATACGAGTGTCTTTAAGTCTGATGGTAAGTATTTTGTCAGAGGGTGGCCAATATTCGTGAATATGACACAAGAAAGCCTAGGAAGCCTTGTCCAGCACCCCAGAGAAATGCAGCATACCTTGGCATGGTGAAATGAGCTGTTCGATATACTGCCCCTATTGTGGCACCTGAAATGGAAGACAGGGGTGGTTTTCTGTGGTTTTCACATGCGTGCAAAACTATCGCTTCCTATCAAAGTTAAGACAAACTTTTTGAATTTTTCAAAACTTAGTCAGTGGTTATATATGATAAAAGGCTTATTGAATAAATTTATTCAGGCTGAATGGGAAAATATTTGGCTCTCATTAATGATGTACAAACCAAGTGGACCTTGAGCCAAATATTTTCACATTTGGCCCTCTTGCTGAGTCAATAAGTACATAGTTTGTATAAGGAAGAGGTAATGTGTACTTATCAAAAAGTGTCTAAGGCAACTAGGTACACTATAAAGCAGTTTCAATTTGTGACTAATGGAGGAAGACTCTAAGAAACCACTATACTTTACATCAAACTTGTTTTAACTTTATGTTCAACAAACTTGAGATAAAGTTTATATCCTGAAGTTTTAATAACATAGCAAAAAATAAGAACCAGATGGTTTGATTAATGGTTTAAATTTGCTGACCCATTTGCTGCTTCAATCTACTAACTAACTACTACTAACTGCTTTCATTTGTGCTTTAATCTACTGACTAACACAGGTATTTTTGATAGCATATTTAAACTTTTTCTATTCATCAAGCTTTTAATTAGAAAATTTTGGAGATTATGCAAAAATTAAAACTCACTTGTTACTATTCCTCCAGTGATTGGATAAAGAAATCCAATGAATATTATAAGGAGAGGAAAAAACATGCCTCGTGAATGTTGCCTCAGAGCAAAGAAAGCAACAGCAGCTGAAATACAATGGATGAACACTGATGTTGCCAGACACCAAAGAAAAATCTGATACCACATTTCTGTGAAAGAAATAAAAACCAATGAACACACAGCCTACAAAAAATTTTTGACTCTATTTGTCACAATTTTATACAAATGGTTGTGATGCTTTATGAAGAGCCCCTGGTTGTTCCACAGAGGCTCAGACATTTAGACATTTACTCCCTTTAACGCCAGTAAATAATCCCACAACTACAGGTGTACAAGAATAACATGACTTTGATTACTCACACAGTGAATGAGATAATGGATGAAAATAAAATGAAACCAAAACTGTTTAAAAAACCAGCAAAGTAGTTTCCCAAAATGTCAAACTCCCAAAAACCTACTAATTATGCCTTGACAACCCCTGGCCTTGTGATGTCTTTTTAAGTTCCCTTGGGTTTCATTTTGAGCAATATGAAAAGATTTAGTGACTTGTTTAAAAGAAGTCCTGCATACTTTGTTGTGCATTCTCTGTTATCGGAGGTCAGATTGCTATACACATTGTAAATGTCGTGTTCTGGGCAAAGAGTAGTATTCTTTTAAAATAAACTAAAAAAGTTAAATAAAGGGAAGATGAAGCATTGTTTCATTCACAAGGAAAAAATTAAACACAGTGAGGTTACTTGGTTACATGTGTAAGTGTGAAAGATGTCCAATGACACATTTCTGGGTTATAGTGTGAAAACACATGAGACATTGGTTTAAGTGAAAAACATATGGTATACAGTTGCTGTTCTTCATACAGACTTCTTTCTAGTACAAATACACCAGTCCTGTACCTCTCACTTACCGCCAGTTCTTTTATGTCTCAACAAAATTCTGACATTTTAACATAAAAAAAGAAAAGAACCAATCATACAGGCCTAGCTTCCCCAGATGAGCAATGGACACCTTATCATGGCCCTACGGAATACACAAGTATAAACAACCTCTTCATTACTCACATCGACATTATATAGTAATTATAAATTGTGTCAGTAATACATTTTTCCTGCACTGCACCCTTTTAAAACGAATTCCTGTGGAGGTTTAGTATCGCATAGTAGTTTTCTCAGTGGTCAACTGCAGACGTAAACATTTAGCTGCAAGCTTATGTGTGAGGTTGCTTTCTTCGCTGCTTGATCAATTATTCGAAACCATCAGGGGAAATAGTAACAACAGCGCTTTTCACTGCCATCAAAAGTTAAACAGGATTCGATGGGCTTGAGTCTTAATCAACAGCCGAATTAACCACAGCCTGTTTGAAGTAAGCTTTCACGATTTAAACACCAAGCCTTAATTAAAATTGGCGATTCATCATCCACTCACCACCGAAAAAATACAGATTCTTTTGCACATCCATGCCTCTGTATTTACTCTTCAAGCACTAGAGACTGCTACAACTTTCCTTTTCTCGGGGAGCCTTTAGATCAGCCTCTTTCCTACTTTAGAGCACCAGAAGTTTTCAAATATGAACCCCCCCAGCGTACGGCTACCGCCGAGTTCCGCCATATTCTTCATCGCTGTGAAGCCGACAGAGCTGAATAATGAAATGCTACGTCAGAGCGTATGCGGTCAACAACGCGGGCTCAAGTGTCCTCAGTCGAAAATTTCACGAAAGTAACAAGGGAATAAATATATCTTATTAACCAAGCCCGAGGGCCGTACTGAGAGAATATCGGCCCGAAGTCTTGACAGTACGGAATGAGCGCAGCGAGGTCCGTACAAAAAAGACCGAGGGCCGATATTCTTCCAGTACGGTCCCGAGCAAGCTTGGTTAATAAGAGATTTATTATACGACTGAAGTTCATAGGGACACAAGTGCGGTATCATTCGGGACCATTCGGGACAGTGCCCGGTCCAATACTTAGAGAATATTGGACCGGCAATAGAGCATTTAGATTGGTTTATTTTAGTTATTGGCCCTCTGACTGCCCGAGTCGTGTAATAAATATATCTTGTTAGACGTTTTGTTGTGTAGTATCGCTGAGTATTTTTACGAGTTTTGCCCGTAGGGCGAGTCAAAGTACAAATAACGAGTAAAAATACTCAGCGATACTACACAACAAAATGTCTAATAAGTTATTTATTATCCAACACGCCAAACTGTTATTTCAGTGCGGGCGAATTTCGCGGATATTTATTTACGGGGAGTGCATGACAGAAGTATGCGAAGAGGAACGTTGTCGTGTAATGTTGCTGTTTCCATTTTCTTCAATAAATGAAGAAATTTCCAGGTCGTCTACCTGTTTTTCTTCGTTCGATTCATCTAATAAACTTGGATGTATATTTGCCAGCCATTCTGACTCTTCGTCGTCGGAAATATGATTCAAATTGTCCGCCATTTCTTTTTTCGTAACTACAATACAATTCTTCGCTTCCGCGATGCGAGAAAACCTGTTTGACCGGTACTGTAGAGTACAAATACCGCGTGATATTTGTACTCGTCTATGGCGTTATTTGTACTCTACGAAGTGTAGTTGGATAATAATAAGTGAGAATAATAAGTGGGAAAATAATAAGGGCTCACTTTTAAAACCGAGGAACTCTGTTTTCGTCGAAGGCATTTTCCTATTTCCACAGTTTTTAAGGAGAAAATTGATATTTGAAAATTTTTAGGTGGTTTACCAAGTTTTTGGAGGTTTTCTGTAAAAGAAAAACGGCAAGGAAAACGACGCCTCGAAGCAAAAGAATAGGAAATCAACCATGCGAACGACTCAAAATCTGTGTTTCCGCGCCAAAACCTGGCGCATGCGTATACGTTATTCAGCTCTGTCTGTGAAACCTGTATTATTTTGCTCTGCGGAAAGACGTCATCTTCTCCCATCATGTCGTATACTTCTCATCGTAATATATCCAATCAGATTTTGCCTTTTTTACTGCGCTTGTTGAAAGTGCTTCAAAGGGCCAGGTACCGGGCTAAAGCAAATGGAGTCTTGGATGGTGTCCTTCTAAGTTTGTTTTTGATGAATAGTAGTAGGCCTTCTTTGGTCGATTTTGACCATGGATACTGCACTCTAGGAGTTCGTGGTGTTGCGACTAGAACAGCGTCGTCGGCGGCTGGTACCGATGTGGGAGTGGCAGTTTGCTGCACAAAGTGCAGATGTAGTTGGTCGTGGGGGGTGTTCTTGTCCGTGTGCCTTCCGCCTTGCTCTCCTCTCTTCTGCCAGGTTCAGGACCTTCTCCTCACCTGTCTTCATCAGTTTCTTGAGCAAGCAGCGCCAGCTGATGCGGTTTGCTGCAGTGTCCTTCCCGATCTCTGTTTTGATACCCAGATCTTTCATGTCGCGCTTGCAGACATTCTTATATCTCAGCTGGGGGCGAACTTGGGGTCTTTTTCCGGACGTAAGTTCACCATAGAAAATGTCCTTTGGGATTCGGCCATCTTCCATACGGCGCACGTGGCAAGGCCAGCGCAGTCTGCGTTGTCTGAGCAGCATATACGTGGTGGGGAGGCCGGCATGGGCAAGAACCTGGGCGTAAGGCACTTTGTCGCTCCAGCTGATGCCAAGGATGCGGCGAAAACATCGCATGTGGACTGAATGCACAGCTTCTGCTCTTGCTTGGCATAGGCTCTCCTGGATTCTCTCCCGTACAGGAGGGTGCTGACTATGTAGGCATTGTACACTGCAATCTTGGTTGGAGTGGTTGGCTTGGGGTTCTCCCAGAGGCGAGTGGTCAGTCGTCCTAGAGGTTTTGCGGCCTTACCGATGCATTTGTCGATTTCGGCATCTATGGACAGGTTGTCGCTGATGGTGGAAGCAAGGTAGGTGAACTGGTGTACCACTTTAAGTTCGTAGTTGTCGATGGTGATGACAGGTGGTGTGTCCACATCTTGGCCCACAAGTTGGTCCTCTTCAGGCTGATGGTTAGTCCAAAGTCTTTGCAGGCCTGATAGAATCTGTCCATCAGACACTGTAGATCTTCTACAGTGTGTGAGGTGACTGCTAGTAGTCATTAGTTGTCAACTTCATTTAAAGAGGATGACACATGACAGATATATCTGATAAACTAGTGGCCTTCTATCCTAATAATAGCAGAAGTTTACAAAAATTAAAAATTATGTATGTGAAAGATAAAGTGTAGAGAATAAACAGATGTCAGTAAAAAATTGAAAATTTTTAAGTTAAAAGGTTAATATAAAAACGTATAATTCATGATACAATGTGATAAACTAAAAATTTCTAGGTTAAAAAATATTTTCTTAGCTCACCTTTAAAGGAGCCAATGGCGTCCTTTTTCCGCACATCCAAAGGAAGACTGTTCCAAAGCTTACTACCATGTACTTGAAAAGAGCGACGCCCTTCTGTTTCCCTGTTATATCGAGGGCAAATCAGGTTATAGTTTCCGTAACGAGTAGTCCTCCTGTGACGGTCTCAGTTTCTTGATAATAGTCGTGTTATATAGCTCAGACAGTCGTTTTCGTTTGTAATGCGCCTAAATATTAAACTACTCTTTAGGAGATTTAACTCATTCTTAAGAGGCAGCCAATCAAACAGTCTAAATAGAATCTCGCCCCTTTCTCCGACATCTGTGTCCAGAATTACAAGAGCTGCTGGCTTTTGAAGGCGAGATATGTTTCTAACATACTCTTCCGATGCAGCGCTTCATACCCATGGTCCATACAACATTATCGGCCTTATTAACGCATTGAAATACAGCTTACACTGAGAGAGGGGAAAATTTCGCCTAATCTTCTTTAGTACAGCAATCCTATGAGACCCTTTTTGCAACGGTCATCAATGTATTCGTTAAAACTAGGCTGGTTGTCTAGTTTCACCCCAATCAATTTTTGTGACTTGACTTGTTCAATCTCGCTGCCTTTGGATGAGATTGTAAGAGTCATGTTTGGAGCTTTCTTCCCCAGGTGTTTGCCAGTTACGAGCAGACTTTTCGTTCTACAAGCATTGAGTACCATCCCATTTTCGGATGTCCAATCGACTAACTTGTTTACGCCGCTGCTGAATTGGAGATAAATCTGTGACATCAGCAGAGGTACTCAAGGCAGTATCATCTGCATAAATATCTACAGCTGATCGCAAAGTGAGTAGGGAAGATCATTTACAAAGATAATGAATAAGAATGCCCCCAGGACCGATCTCTACAGCACACAGTACATGATTAACCTATATTCTGGCCGTACTCCATCAAAACAACTGTTTGCTTTCTACTCTTTAAGTAGTCCGTTAAGAGCAGGAGTTCCTTAGATGCTAAACCATATGCCTCAAGCTTTGCTAAGAGTATGCCATGATCAATTAAATCAAAAGCCTTCTTGTAGTCTACAAACGCAAGTCCAGTAATGTGATCTTTGTCCATATCTGACAGTAACTGGTCTGTCAGACGAAGGAGCGCAGTTTCGGTTGAGTGTGATCTTCGGAACCCTGACTGCAAGTTGTAAAGCAAATCATTAATTCTCATGTAGCTATACAGAGCTTGGTGAACATGCTTTTCAAATATTTTTGAGTGCAAAGGAAGCACAGAAATTCGACGATACTTGTTCTTGTCATCTTTGCTCCCTTGACCCTTGTAAATAGGGGTAACTTAAGCACATTTCCACGTTGACTCAGTGGCAAGGAGATTGGAAGGGTAGCTAGTTTCAGTATTCTAGGGCCAAGTCCGTCAAATCCAGTAGCTTTGTGAGCCATCGTTCGTGATGTCATATGTTGAATAGTGAAACGTGATTTGCTAACGCCCTACGTAAAGTCTCTGATGTTCATAAGAGAAACCCGTGAAGCTATGGAAGAGATGGAAGAGTCCGTAGCAGTTCTAGGGGATGCTTCACAAACCCGGAATTTAAGCGCTCTGCAATATCGAGTGTATTTGTAATCACTTCGTCTCCTTCCTTCAGCTGACGGATTGAAGCATGGTTGTTTACGTCTTGTCTAGTTAGGTTCCTGATAAGGCTCCACAATCTTTTGGGGTTATGTTTAGGTTCTGCAAATTGGATCATGAAATATTGCTCTTTGGTACAGCTAATTTACTCGCAGACTTTGTTCTTCGCACATGTATAAGTAGCCCAGTCATCAGGATTTGCAGAAATTCTACCTTTTTCGAGCAGTTTATCTCTTTTCTCCTGCGTCATCAGCAAGGAGTAGGTCTCTGATGATGGTCTCACACACCTTAGCTCTGATTCTTGCGATGTTATAGAGTCTGCCGTCTGATCTTTTGTGTATGTACACCTATTCGGTTGATTCCGAAACGCATGTTTCAGAAGGAGGGAGAAGAGGATGCCGAAGAGGGTTGGAGCAAGGACGCAGCCTTGCTTCACACCGCTTTTGATGTCAAAGGGTTCGGACATGCTTCCCTCGTTCTGGATCGTTGCCTTCATGCGGTCATGAAAGATCTGATCATACCGTGAAGCTTCGGGGGACATCCGATCTTCAGGAGGACATTGAAGAGCCTATCCCGGCTAACCAGGTCGAAGGTCTTGGTAGGATCTATAAGGCGACGTAAAGAGGCTTCTGCAGCTCCCTGCACTTCTCCTGTCGTTGACGAAGGGAGAAAATAATGTCCACTGTAGAACATTCTGCTCGAAAG